AGGACTGAGCGAACTGCTTACACAGTAAACTCGTCCTTCGGTTAGCAAACTTCATAAGTGATTCTGGTTGGCAAAAGCCAATCGAGTCTTCGGTATCCTTACCGAGATTTTATAAAACACCAGGCTATCATTACAGATGAGACTCTCGAGATAAGTGAAGTGAACAACACGCTCAACTGCCTCAATCCCTATGACTAGTTCAGGTACGGATGCAGGCCGGTCCTGAAGCAGCCCCAAAACTAACTTCTTTGAGGTTGCACTTAAATAATATAGTAAGTCAGCTTTTCCAAGGTCATGAAAAGAAATGAAGTACAGCTGTGAATCTAAAATTGTTCTCTGTGAAACGCCCGATCTCGAGGACGTCTAACATACATGCACTGAGAGTAAAATTCAGTTCTCCAGGTGGTGATTTTGATGCTAGGATAAAATAAGGGTCAGTAATAAATACTCAGCGTCATGAATTTCGCCATAGTGATTGTGTACCCTGCTGATACGTCGAATACCCGGCGAAGTCAAGAAATATTACACGAGCAGGCTGTTAGATTCACTAGAATAACGTACCTGATGCCTGTTTTGAGTCAAAAAAAACTGTCTTGGTGGTTATTCAGAAATGTTAATATATGAGTTTATGTGGTTCTTTAACAAATCATGTTAAATTAGTCGAACTTAAGGTGATAACGCATAAACCATCCGTCGTAAAAACAGGTTCAAGGTGACTCTTTATGCAACCAATAAGAGCATCATGGACAGTATTTTTTTTATCCAAGATTACTTACTGTTAATCAATATAGTCATAAAATAAGAATTTCACAAAGGTACCTTTTAGTCTGTGCAGATTGTTCTGTAATCATATTGTACAAGAAGCTTAGAAGAGTAGACTCTGTCTGTCCTTTGTGAACTTGTGTTGGGCTCTATTAAGACTGTTGTTCTATCATCTGGTCAGTAATGAACTCTTTCATCTCTATTGCAATTAGTCTTACTGGTCTGTAACCAAAACTGAATCTATTCAGTTGCCTTCTGTGATGATTGAGAAAGAAGAAAAAATCTGTCTCCACTATTTTTAAGAGTTATCAGGTGTTAAGATATTCATCCAATATCTTAAGAGAATTATTGGTCAATTCTTATTGGTTAATTCCTATTGGTTAATTTTATGGTCGTCCTAGATATCAGTGTCACGTACTCCAATGTTGTCTCTGATTGGTCATCCGGACTGTCAATGTCATTTCAAATGTTCTTTCCTATTGGTCGTCCTAAACTGTCAATGCCACAGACTTTGATGTTCTTTCCTATTCGACCTAAATGTATAAATACGCACGATCTGTGAGACTTCATGATTCCGTTCCTTTCTGCCTTCCTCCATGCTGTACTCGACCACCCATTAAATAACTTCATCTAACGGCGTTGTGTTCTAATATATATATAGGAGATTTGGGAATAGTATTTGGGTCGTATTGGAATATTTGAATTGGGACGTCGGTAGGATTTAAAATATAGCTACGTAGCAGCATTATAACACCAGGATTCTAGTGAATGACTAAACAGATCATATGACGACGATAGCTTTCGTGTATTGTTCGTGTCAGAACTACATGGCATGATAGAAATCTTTATTTACACACACACACCCAAGCATTCATCAGTAATTAATTGTTGGACAGAATCAATTCATAATAATGAATGTCTACTTGATTAAACAATCAGCAATAGGTCAGATCTATTTTCAATATAAACACAGTATCAAAATAAACAGTTTTATAATTGAAATATTATGTAACCTTTAGATACACTTTATTCTATTATACAATAGTGACCTAATAATCTGTTATCAGTTTGTTTGTCCATCCATTTATATATTGGTGAATATTATGTTGGAATTAGAAAATCGATTACTGTTAGACCGCACCATTAGAGATATGGAAACACTAGATGTTTTGTCCAGGTATGGGATTCACTAGCAGTGCACATTCGAACCCAGAACCTTCAATCTTGAGTACGAACTCTTGACCTCTGGAACACTGAACCAGCCGGCATCCAACACTGTGAATGTTAAATTCTGATCAAACTACGGATTTTACGCAATCTCATCCATTGGCCTCAGTAGTGACTGCCTACACTCGAAAGTGTTGTACTCTATTGATCACGGTTTCTCACTAGAAATCCAAGAATTTCCTAACGAAGCTAGTTACTAGTGTGAGGTGTCCTGGATTCGACTCCTGCGTATGGAGGTGGTGGATAGGCACTGTTGATGAGTCCCATACACCAGGACGAAACGGCCGTCCTCCATTACTATCAAGTTTCTTTCTAATAAAGGGTCTAACACAATGATCAGTTCATGATTTCAATTGGAAACTCAACAATATCCAAAACTCTATCATGAAACTAGTTAAATTACTAGTTATATCTATCTAATAGGAATCTATCTTGATTGAACATGTTCACTGATTATTATTCTAACCAATTGTCTGTTTGTTTATCTATCATTCAAGAGTAATATTATAGAGCAGCAATACGTCTTTTTTTCAAGATAATCCCAATTCAAGTACACTTAATATACTACTTATATTTGATGAGAACTATATATAAATGTTACATGCAATAAATTCGACATTAAGTCAGTCAGTTACAATGTAGAACTTCGTATGTACGTACGTATGATCAGTTCAGGTTGCCATATCACACTAGCACAAACAAAGGTCGAATTATCTATTTAAATCCCATAGTAGTAGTGTGGTGCGAGCTCATTATAAGTAGTATATGACGTGAGTGTAAACGTAATGTCTGGCAGCAGAAGATGAGGGAAGATCAAGAAAGGAAGAGTTAGAATACAATGGAATTTGTATGAAACGCATGAATAGTGAGTGACAATGGATTGATGTTTTGCAACAGGAACAGTCCAGTTCGATATGATGAACTGATATTTTGCAAATTAACGATTTATGATATGGTTTTTCTATTTTACTGAGTAACTCTGTAATTTTCGTTAAATACAATTCGGTTGCCCCACCTTGTGTTCTCGTTCACTACAGTAGAACTATTAGCAGTAACCGGAGAGATTATGGTTCAAGGATATTATTCAAGAAGTGAGATAAATTTTGGAAATGGAAGATAGGAGTGATGACGAATTCAGAGAATTAGAATTTGAGACAAGCTAAAGAGTGGATGTACCTGCGCCAAAGTCATGTCATGCAAAGTCTCTAACCATCGATTAATAACGTCTCACGGACTCCAACCAGATAGTCAACACTTACCAACATGACTCAATCCAGTTGTTAGTGACACTTTATGGACTGACGGCATGTTTTGGTTCGGCTGCCCTTAGCTTTTTTTCCAGCCCAACCCCTACATCAGGCATCATCGCTCGACGTGACAGTCGGTCAAAATAATTAAATCACTAAGAATATTTATCTAATTAAATCTATCTTGATTGAACATGTTCACTGATTAATCTAATTAACAGTCTATTGATCTATATAATTCAAGATTAGTAGTATAGATCGATACCTTTTTTCATTTTGTGAACTCGCATTGTTTACATTAGCGGTACGGGGTAATAAAGGAATGTGAGTAGAGTTAGTTGTGGAGAAAAGAGAGATATTAGGGAGTGTAGGAAGGATTTGATTTTGACCAATTTGGTTTTGTGTGCTGTTGCGGGTTTGAGGGTGGATGTCACTTCTCAACTGCCCACATCCATGGAAGAGAGTTTCTAGAGGAACCTGAAAAGGAAGATAGATTAGTGTTGGTCTCAGAAATCTGGGAGCGTGAGTGCAGAGTTCAAGGGACAACTACTTGAGGCCTATCACGAACGGCCTTTTTATGAGTAGTATTTAAAGTGTTAGCTCCGTTCTTGTTTAAAAGCTCTTACGGCCGGAGACGGATATCCATGAGGTAAGGTGAGGTGTCACATTTTTAGGGTCGGAGAAAACGCATCATCCTACCATACATCAAAGACATATCGGAGCATACAGCACGACTACTGAAACCATTTGGAATAGGTGTGGCACACAAGCCAACAGAATCACTTCAATCAATCCTATGTAGACCAAAGGACAAAATGACAAAGGAAGAAAAACCAAATATCATCTACAAAATAAATTGCTCAAACTGTGAAAAACACTACATAGGACAAAGTAGACGACCTCTTCAGCTCGGTTTACGTGAACATCAATTAGCAGTCAAACGCCACGACAACGCTTCGCTTATATCAATACATACCGACAATTATGGACACACATTTGACTGAAACAATGTGGAAATACTGGGTAGGGGGGAGGACAAAGAACACTAGAGAATTTTTAGAAGCTTGGCACTCAGGCTAATCAGCAATCAACAAACACATCGACATTGACTCAATCTATCAAACAATCAGAAAAATCATAGGATCAAGAAACAGATCAAAAGGGGGGTGCAATCAAAACAAAGTTGCAAACAACGACAGGTCAAAAGTCAACAGCAACCAATCAAGATCGAGGTTAGCAGAACAAGCTACAGACAGGTCAAACGTGGAGAAATTCGAATACTTCACTTCCTCCATCTGAAGTTTGTGCTGCTGATGATCTTGTTCAGCAAGAGAACAATGAAAGCTCCACAACCAAAACACATCCAGCTCAGAGAACGAAACACCACCACAATTTTTACGGTCGACCTATTCAAACTCCTTTCTTCCTTATGAGAAAGCAGCAGTGTCGCTGCAAATGCTAGTTGTTCGAGGGGAACACCTTACTGTCGTCACAACCCTCTACGACTTCGCCCCCAGACCTAAAGTCGCTACTTTTAGTCTCATCGTCCTGCAATCGACTTGCCAGGAACATATGTTCTTGAGTGGTCATTACGATAGGTAAGCCTGACACCACCACCACCACGTCAATGTACACTTAATATAATATAATACAATATATACTACTTATATTTTTTATTTGATTAAAACTATATATATATATATATATATATATATATATATATATATATATATATATATATATATATAAATATATATAATATACAATACATTAAAATATTGTGTGAGATTACATACGATACATTCTATGTGGGAAAAAAAACAGGAAATGCAAACATCGTTTTTTGATATTTAAAAATGTAACGAAACGAAAAAAACAAACAATAAACAAGTCAAGAAAGAAAAATTAAGGGAGTAAGTAAGTAGGTGAGGGATGGGGGGCTGGGTCTAGGTGAATGGGAAAAAGGCAAAAAAAAAGCCAATGACTACTGGCAAGTACTACCGTACGTACCGTGTAAAACTACACTGCCTTTTGATGGATTGTCACATTTCCCTAAGTGCTTTTTTGGGTGTTTTTTCAAAAATGGGGGAAAAAAATATTTAAAATCATCAATGAATCAATCAATCATTGTTAGACCACCACACCACCATTAGAAGAAACCTGGAAGCACTGTAAGATGGCCGTTTTCGTCCTTGTGTATGGGACTACTCCTCATCATCAGTAGTGACAGTGTACATCCACAAAACTCCTTCAGCTCGCACAGGATTCGAACCCGACACTGTCAGTGCTTCCAGATTTCTTCTAATGATGGTGTGCTAGTCTAACAATGATTGATTGATGTGTTTTTTAAAAACACACAAACCTACAGAAAACTCTGTCCACCCCCCCCCCCGCAAAAAAAAACAACTAAATAGTTAAATGGATTTTAAATTTTTACAAAAAATTTCTTAAAATAGCTTTTTTCACTGGTGTTGGCAATTGAATTTGTGAAATATGATTTTGAAATATGGTATGCAACATTTGTGCATTGCTAATCATTAAGGTGAGATCAATATTACTAGGATTGTTGTTAGTAGTAGTGGTAGTAGTAGTAGTATCATTATCGTTAGATTGATATTGATGATGATGATTGGGTTTGTTTAAAATATTTTCAATGATACATTTACGAATTGTATAAAGGCATTGTGTACCGAGGCGTATGCATTCCGATCGTGTAGTGAATAGTAATACATGATGATTATTTGTACTAGAGAGAAGATAATGAGAAAAAAAAATAAAACGAACATTACAAATTGTTATTGATAATTTTAATGAAGAAATAATGAAAAATTATAGTTTTTTTTTAAAAAAATAATAATAAAAATATAGTTTTTTGTTAGTTAATTAGGTGGTTGGTAGGTAGGCAGATGTCGACTACCTGGTTGGGGCCGACGAGATGATAGTAAATGAGTCAGTCAGTCAGTCAGATGCAACGTACAACTTCGTATGTACGTAAGTACATCTGTTCAAGTTGCCATACCACATCAGCACACAGAGATGTCATTGTCAATTCAAATCCAATAGTATTAGTAGAGGTAGTAAAGGTATTAGAAGTAATCGAAGAGGTTAGGATTACAAGATATTATTATTCAAGAAATATGATTTAGTGAGAAAAGTTTAGAAAGTCAAAACTACAAGGGTTGAAGAATCCGGAAGATTAGGATTTGAGAGAACACAAAGAATAAATGCACCGGCGCCATTGCAAACGATTTTGAGCCATGTTATTCATTGTCTCTAACCATCGATTATTATCATCTCGTGGACCCCAACCAGGTAGTCGACAATTACCGACATGGATAAGTCCATTCGTCAATGACTTCATGGATTTCTGCCATGTTTTGATTCGGCCGCCCCTAACTTTCTTCCAACCTATTCCTACACTACAAAACAAAGCTCGACGAGGCAGTCGGTGGTTAGGCATACGCAAGACGTGTCCCAACCACCTCAACTGATGAAGTTTCATTACTTCATCTATTGATTTGCCATTCTTACCTAGCACCTGATTCCTAATAACAGCGTTGCTCACTCGGGTGTCCCAGGATATACGAGCAATGCTCCGAAGAAACCTATGATCGAAAACCAGTAACCTACGAGTATCTTCTACTCTCACTGGCCATGTTTCACAGCCATAAAGTAGGACGGAGTGAACTGCTACGCAGTACACTCGTCCTTTAGTCAGCAAACGGATATCTCGCCTACGCCATAAGTGACGCAGGTTGGCAAAAGCTAATCGAGCCTTCTGTATCCGAGCTGAGATTTCGTCAGTCACCAGGCCATCAGCACTGATGAGACTTCCCAGATAAGTGAAGTGTTCAACACGCTCGACTACTTCACTCCCTATCACTAGTTCAGGTACCGATGCAACCCAATCTTGAAGCAACATTTTGCATTGCGAGGGGGAAAACTGCATCCCAAACATGCTTGATAAATGATGGTTAGAGACCCTTAAATGACATGGCTCAAAACCGTTTGTAATGGAGAAGGTGCAGCTACCCATTGTCTTCTCTCAAATCCTAATCTTCTACATTCCTCATCACCTTTATCTTTCTCTTTTGAAGTTTATTTCACTAGATTCTACTTCTTGAATAATATACTCGAACTTTAATCTCTCCGATTACTTCTAAAACTCCTACTACCTATACTACTATGGGATTTGAATCGAAAATTGCGTCTCTGAACACTTATTTGGTATGGCAATATGAACTGATGCATGTACGTATGAAGTTCTACGTTGCTGTTGATTGATTGATTGATTGATCATCTACATCTACAAGCATCCAGAAAGTACGAGGTCCGAGTCCGGAAGAAGACACAAATACCGGACTGAGGATCCGGGTCCGGGTCATAAAACGTTACAGATAATGCGTATTTATACATTTAGGTCCAAAAAGGAAAGAGCATCGAAGTCTTTGACATTGACAGTTAAGACGACCAATAGGAAGCAACATTTGAAGTGACACTGATAGTCAGGACGACCAATAAGAAATCAACATTGGACCACGTGACACACTGATATCTAGGACGGCCGTAATATTGACCAGTAGGGATTGACGAATAGAATTTACATTCATTGTTCTTCTACGGAACAACATTATCAGCACAACCTTAGATAGAAGTCATTTTAGATTGTGAATGGATATAGCAGAAATTTCTTTATGCTAGATCTTGATTTATGTTACAATGTTGTTTGAATAATTTTATTGGACAATTTATTCTATCGTTAGACCAATCAACATTAATCATTCCATTCATATTTTGTTGATAATTTAAAGTTACTTAATAAAAGAGTTGTATTTCTAAACGAAGAATAACATCTTCCAGACGCTGGTCAAGTGGTTGTTCAGATATTTATGTATGGCGCTCAATTAAATATAACATAACAGGGGAATAGCGAATGTCCTCACCGTAGCTGCTACCTTGACGTGGTGGTCAAATTTGCCAATCGTGATGACCCCTCAACCAAGCTATATTTGCCGGAACATATGTTTCTGTAGGTTCTACCATGTCAGGCAGGTCGATGGGAGAACGGTGTGACTAAAAGTAGCAACTTAAGGTCTGAGGGAGAAGACGTAATGATGACTGTAGATGGGTGAGACAGAAGTAAGGTGTTTCCATCGGACAACCAGCATCTGCAGCGATACTGCTGCCTTCTCACAAGGAAGGAAGGGTTAGTAAAGGTCGACCCTAATAATGTCAAGCCTTATCTTACTCCACAGATTTCTGTCTCCGGCTGTAAGGCCGCCGTTTGAAGAGCGGAGCTGACACTTCGAGATCTTCCAATAAAACAGCCATGTGTGTCTGGCCTCAAGCAGTTGTCTCTTGGGCTCTGCAGTCACGCTCCCAGGTCTCTCAAACCAACCCTAATCTATCTTCCTTTTCAGGTTCTTCAAGAAATACCCTAACCATGCTGTGGGCAGTTGGGAAGTGATATCTGCACTCACGTAACCAAATCGGTCACAATGAAACCATATACTATCCATTTAGATCTGATTTATTTCAGTAGGTAAACAAATACACTTAGCAAAATTTTAAAAAAAAGTTCCGCCTATCCGATAAAAAAAATCTAGTCGGAATCATTACAAGCATTCACATTTTATTTTTTTCGAATCGGTTTACCTTGTAAACAAAATCAAATGTTTCTCACAATGTAATAAGTTGGAAAAAATATGTCCGAATTCTAGGGTCATTTTATTTATCTGTTTCAATCGAATCTATAAAACCTGATGAACTAATTTTACTGAAATCATGAATCGGTCAGTGTTAGGTAACTACTACTATTAGAAACTTGTCCTAATATGAACCTAGTCAGTATTGCGTATCCATGACTTCGTAAGTGGAAATTGAAACCAAGGAATTTCGGTCACACACACACGAACGCTTAATCTACAGACCACTATTGAAATGGCATCCAAAAGCATTAGTGTTTAACTTGAATCATTTTACGATATTGCGCAACCTCATTCATTGTGTCATGGACGCGCAATGCCACTGATGAGTAGTCCCATACCAGGACGAAACGGCCATCTTTCAGTGCTTCCAGGTTTCTAATGGTGCCAGTCTAACAATGATTGATTGATGATTTCAAATGTGTAAAAACATTAATCTTCATAACTCTAATTGAAAATATCGTAATATGTGCTGACTAATGACTAACTTTGTAAGGAAATTCTCGGAGTTCTAGTGCGAAAACGTGACCAGTGGAGTTTAGTCCTTTCAGGTGTAGGCAGTAACTACCAAAGGCAAATGAGCGAGGTCGCGCAAAATCCCTTGATAAATCAGAGTTACACATTTTTGAAACCATGAATCGATCAATGTTAGACTACCATTAGAAACCTGGAAGCACTGGACGGCCGTTTCTTCCTGGCATGGGACTCCTCAGCAGTGCGCATCCACGACTCCTGCACCCCGCAGGATTCGAACCCAGGACCTTCGGTATTGTGCGCGAACGCCCTAACCGAACTTGATCATATTCACGGAGTTGCGCAACCTCATACACAGTCTTCGGTAGTTACTGTCTACACCCGAACAGGTTGAACTTCACTGGTTACGTCTTCCCACTAGAACTCGGAGAAGATTCCTCACGAAGCTAGTCACTAGTGCTAGTCCAGTGCTTCCAGGTTTCTAATGGTGGTCTAACATTGATCGATTCATGGTTTCAAAAATGTGTAACTTAACAATCTTCACAACCCCGTAATGCAAATCAGAGTTAGACATTAACACCGCTGGATGCCGGCCCAGTGGTCCAGAGGTTAGGCATTCGCCCATAAAACCCAACGTCCTGAGTTCGAATCATGCGAGGTGCAGGAGTCGTGGATGCGCACTGCTGGTGGAAGAAACGGCCGTCTTTCAGTGCTTCCAGGTTTCTAATGGTGATGGTCTAACAATGATTAATTGATGATTTCAAATGTGTAAAAACACTAATCTCCATAATTCTGATTGAAAACTGATCCATTGTGCTTGGTGCCTGCCTGCCTGATACCTGATACAGCTGAACTTCCTTATTTATGGCTTTTAACTAGAACTCTAAGAATTCCCTAACGAAGTTAGACACATGTAAGTAGTACATGACAGCTGTCATTACAAGGTTATTCACGAGTAGGACAAGACGGTTACTCAGTAGTTTCAGGCTTCTAATAATGATCTAACGTTGATTGATATCATCATTTCAAAAAAGGAACTCAACAATTTCCAATATTTAACAAGTTCTTTTCAAGATAATACAGTCAAGAGTTCGAAATCGTGCAATAATAATAATAATAATGACGAAAAATAGAAATCGCAGATGTCATTAGTCCAAACTGTGAATATATCAGCATAGGGATAAGTTCAGATTGTTGTCTCTTTCTGGACATATAACTCAGATTCTAGTTTTTTTCTGCTTTGAAAAACCGAAGAGAAAGTACTTACAAAGCCTAAAAATACCTTGCCTACTTTCATTAATAAATTTTCAGGTTTGACAAGGAATGAGGCTGCTTTCGTTAGATTTTTAATTCATACTAACGGATTGAATTTTAATTGTTCTCCGACTGATTAATTACTTTCCCTATAAAATATTATAGATGACCCAAAATCAGTTGCAATGGCGTAGGTGCATCCGTTCTTTGTGTTCTCTCAAATTCTAACCTTCAGAGTTCCTTATCACCTTCATTTTTGTCCTTTTCAAGTTTATTTCACTAGATTCTACTTTTTGAATAAAAATCTTTGAAC